GCCGAAAATTGATTTTCACGAATACGGCGGCTCTTCCTTTTCATTAGTTACATGCTTTGTCAGAAAAAGAAATAATCAAGAAATAATCGCTGACCTAACTATAAGATCAGCCCTGAGTCGAACTGAAAGTCTCTTTGTCTCGGTTTATTGTAATTTCACGAAACTCATAATAATTATCGGCGATTTCGAGGTAAAGTAACATCACACTTTTTTAAGTTACACTACGCGGAAAAAAAATGATGTTGAGTCAATAGCAAGTGTAAAAGTGTTGAAAGTATTCTTATTAATTCAATAGTATCAACGAAAAAAATATGCATTTTTTTTATTAATACTGTAAATGAATCGGCAAGATTATTTTACTCGCTGTACTCGATTTAATATCACTTTTTTCGTATATTTGATTTTATCCAATTTCAAATTTTGTTTTGTTTAATATTTTAAGAAAATTTATGGAACAATTATGGAGAAATTCTATTTTTTATAATCTCTAATATTTCTCTTTCGTACGTCTAAATCTCTCTCGAGGACAATTTCGACTCTCGCGAAACGATATTTCGATCGTTCAGCATGAGTTCGCACGTGTGCGGAGAAAGAGAAAAGTAAAATATATTAACTTTCAAAATAGCAACCGTTCAAAGAAAACGGTGAAAAAGTCAGTTGTAAAAGTCAGGGCATTGGATTTGCACGTACATTCTTCTTTGGGACCGCATATTCTCGTCTTTCTCGCGAATACTCAATGTATTCCTCGAAAATGCATTTAAACCTAAAGACGAACAACATGTCGTATAGTGTGTGCGCCGATTATTTTTCCTGCTTTTCGGCGGCGTTCCGCGGTGTTTCTTTCGTAGAGAGGCCGTAGATAGGTGGTAATCTGTCGCGAAATTTAGCGCAGCACAAAAATATCGGTTGCGAGGTTGAATTCGAAGCACGGTTTATCGTCTTTCTGCGCTTGTGTATCAGGAGGCGTGACGAGGTCCCGATGCATCGGTACTAAACAAATATTTGTTCTATCGCTTTTTAGCACCGCATAGAGAGAGAGAGAGAGAGAGAGAGAGAAGGAAGGAAGAGAAGGAAAGCGGCATATTTTCGCAGCACCTTTTCTTTCCTTTCTTCTTTTTTTTTTTTTTGCTTACGAGTCTCGATGCTCCTTGTCAACAATCTTAAAATGCTCTCGCACTTCGGAAGGTGGTTTGCCCTTTTCGGCGTGTTGGCTCTAAGCAATGTGTAGTTGATAGAGACGCATATCGAACCACCGCTTCTTCGGAGCACTACGTTCCACTTCTTCTGGATTACATTTTGAAATCACGGAGTCGCCGTGATGGTAGATTGTTCGAATCGACTGTACGAGCTGTATAAAAGTTCTCCCTTTCGGCGACAGATTCCCTTCAAGTTGAAGGGAATCTAGAGAGAACTCAATGAACGACCGTCATCAGCTTCATTAATCTTGTCCCTTTTGTTCTCCAAGATTTCCCGTGCGAATACACGCGAATATTTTGCTGAAAATATATCCAAAATGTAGCATCATAATGTAGAGACGTTATTGACATTAGCGCGCAACTTTTCCTCTTTCTCTCTTTTTTCCTCACGATCGCTGGTATGATGCGTTCGCCTTTTAACTCGCCACCGATACGAGGAGGAATTTCGGTTGCGTAATGCCCAAAAGTCACGGTGTGGCAGCAACGAAGCTGGGCATGCCGCCATCTATCGAGGTCGCGAATAAATGGCACGCGAAATTTTGTCAGCTTCTGCCGGGATGACATGAGTCTCTCACATTCACGCCGGTCTCTGTTTATTCGATACCGCAAGCGTACGGTCCTCTCTCTCTCTCTTCCTCTAATATACCGTTCCTCACCGTACTATCTTCTCCCGCCCCCTCTTACCCCATCCCGTCAGCCTCCGTCCGTCTCTTCTTCGCTGCCTCCGCACAGCTACACGATCATGCTGATGTACAGTGGCTCTCATTTTTTGTCATCCACCCATAAATCTGCCTGTTCGTTCATCCCACTATATGTAACACGTGCGTCACGTGTGGTGCAAAGCGACCGATTTCCCTTTTTTTTCTTTTCGAAGATCCACGCCGGAAGTGGAGTTGCGAGTAAGTGTCGCTACGCATCTCCGAACGCGGAAAATATCCGACATCGAAATTGATAAGGAGCATCCTATTGCGACCTATTGTTCTCAGTCATGCGTTATGACCGCGTGATTAATACTGATAATTGACGTTTGATGAAACGTCAATTACAGTAACGCGAACAGTTTATTGCCTCAAAAATAGTAGAATTATGCGTGAAAGAGTCGTCGCCAAAAATTTAATTTTTATTCGACTATTTCGTTGATCGCGCTCGATACACGTTATCGAATAATTGAGTTATCGCCCGTTTTAATCCCCCTCGGAACATTCATAGTCCAATGTATATGTAAACGCTTATAAGATTGATTGATAGATTTACGATTTGTTAATATCAACATGTCGAAAATTTCAGACATCATGTTCTCTCCTAAATCCCGACAGATTTTTATTAGAATTATTTACATCTTCGAGATTATGTGTTTTTCATAGTCGTAATCAAGAGAGAAAGAGAGAGAGAGAAAGAATTGTTGTCCTCTTTGAAAGGTACGTCTCGTGTTAATTAAGGTGGGAAGGGAGAACTTTCCAACTCTAAGCATGCTTCCGGTGTCCCTCACGGGTTTCTCGAGCCACGTGACCGTCGGGATGCCGCGTGCCGCGCGAGAGAGAGAGAGAGAGAGAGAGAGAGACGTACGAGTAGGTTACCGGGA